TCACTGGAGAAGACCCTGATGCTGGGAAAGATGGAAGGTCAAAGAAGATGGGGACGGCAAAGGATGAGATGGTTAGACAGTGTCATAGATGCAACGAACATGAAATTGAGCAAACGTCAGAGGACGGCGGAAGACAGGAAGGCCTGGTGGGATCTGGTCCATGGGGTCGTGAAGAGTCGGACTCGACTGTGCGACTGAACAACAACAAAGTTTTTGTCCTTCCCTTGGAAGACCAGCAGTGTGAGCCCCACCCCCCCATACCCCACAGGAGGCATCCCACCCTTGGCCACTTTTCTGCCAGTTTACCGAGTCCTCCCATTTGGGAAGGGGCACCCTTAAGGCACCCTTCTCCCAGGATGTCTCCTCGGTATCATCTCTCCTGCCTCCTGACCTGAGCCCAGCCCACTTATCCTCCTTCCACTGCTTACACATTCTTAGACCCTTCCAATCTGCCTCGCTTCCTCTCCTGGCTTGGCCCAGTTGCTGGTCCCTTCACCTCCCCCCAAGACTGGGCTGGGACTCTTGAAGCCCCCCCTGCCCTGCTCCAACCACCACCCTCCTCTCCTGCCCAGTTGTGCTTCCAGCCAGCTGGCCTGAGTCCTTTGGAGTCTGATGATGTCAACGGCAACCGTGGTCATCCCTGTTCAATGCTCCCTCTAAGCTGTGGAGTCTTGTGAAATGACATTCGAGTGGAGTGTATAGAAGCCCCCCTTAGGATGGTAGCAGGCCAATCAGATAGAATCAAGGTACAATTTCTCCTTGCTTCACGAGATCTGGAGATCATTGAACTGACCGCTAAGTTTCTCCATTGTTTTATAAAACGGAAGAGTAACCCTGATCATATTAATGATTCTTAATTTATAAGTTTAAAAACTTAAGTTTAAAAGTTTGGAATGCCAGTTTATTTTATGATTCAGGCATCTTTTGTATGGTCAAATCTAACTTGTGACAACTTGAGTTAGGCCTGACATAGCCACGACTATCTATTTTATAATTTCTCTTGGATTGTATTATTGGGAAACGCTTTTAATATTGTATGCCAATAAAAGGTATTTGATTTGAATTTGAGTCCTTTGGAGTCTGATGATGTCAATGGCAACCGTGGTCATCCCAGTTCAATGCTCCCTCTAAGCTGTGGAGTCTTGTGAGCAAAAATTCTACTTTGTGAGCTCCTGGCATTAAAGTTGTGAGCCAGCAGTTTGGCGACTGCATAAATTAGTTTGCTCTGGAGCCATCCTTCCTGAGCTAAGACAAAAATCTGTGAGCTGGGGGCTAACAAACTGTGAGCTAGCTCACACTAACTCAGCTTAGAGGGAACACTGTCCCAGTTGAGCCTCAGCCAGCATCGGCCATCTGTCGTTGCCGCAACCAGGCTGTGACTCCCCCGCCTCTTCTTACCCTCCTGTGGGCTCTGACCTGTTCAGGTGAGGTGTATGGGGTCCTGTTGTGGGCCAGGCTTGCCTGTCTCAAGCCACGTTTAGTCATGGGAAGGCTCCAGCCCCTGACGAATGGCCAGTGTAAGCTGTTCTTCTGTATCCATTAGGGCTACAGTGTTCCTTGGGGAAATTGCAGTGTTATTGGCTTTAAAAGCCTCCGAATCCCAGAGCCGGGAGGCAACCTCAGGGGAAGGCCTCAGCCTCTTTGCCCTGTTGTTGGTCCTCCAGAGGAACTGGTTGGCCACAGTGTGAGACAGGATGCTGGACTAGGTGGGCTATATGTCTGATCCAGCAGGGCTCTTAAGTTCTTATGACTGAGGAGAACCTCCACATTCAAAAGCATTAAGCCTCCAAATCCCAGAGCCAGGAGGCAACAGGGGAAGGCCTCGGCCTCTATGCCCTGTTGCTGGCCCTCCAGAGGAACTGGTTGGCCACAGTGTGAGACAGGATGCTGGACTAGGTAGACTATATGTCTGATCCAGCAGGGCTCTTACATTCTTAAGGCTTTAACTGAGTTTCAGAGTGCCTCATACAATCTTTGTTGAATGCCAAGGCTACCGCTTTTCCTGTGGTTGAATAACTCTCTACGGCGTTAATTAAAAAAAGAATCTTTCAACAAAAAAAACCCCAAGAAGGAAACAAACTTGAAACCCAGTAACTTTTTATTTTTAAATACCTTTCTGCTGCATAGTAATTTTTCTTCTGTGGGAACTTTCTTCTGATCAGTCGTGCACGTTTCCACAAATCTAGTCAAAAGGAGTACCAAATACCACTGGCTGTGTCCCCACCCCCAACCCCGTTTTTCAGTTACTTGTTTCATAACTTTTTGCAAGTCTTATTTTTAGAAGTTTTGATAGTTCTGATTCTCATGTGAAAAAAACTGAATAGTTGTTTTGTACCCAGACAAGGGTGCTTGCGTATCTGTTGCCTCGATTTGGTTTGTTTTACAGGATTTGAGTGTATGAATATATCAAATATGTTGGACACATTACTTTTCTCAAAATCATGAGAAGATCATCCCTGTCTTTCAGCGGAGTGAGTGTGATGTAGGACTTTGTTTCCCCTGGTTGATTTATGTGGAGCAGGAGTTGGAACAGGACTAGGCATGACAGTCCTTGGTCAACTTCAAGATCACCTGGATATCAGATCTTTGTTCTGTTCAACCCCATGGCTCAGAAGGCTCACACAAATCTAAAACAAAAATTTTATTGTTGCGGCATAAATTGTCAGCAAGTTTGGGTTCTCTTGAACTATGGTGCTGGAGAAGACTCTTGAGAGTCCCTTGGACTGCAAGAAGATCAAATCAGTCAATCCTAAAAGAAATCAACCCTGACTGTTCCCTGGAAGGCCAGATAATGAAACTGAAGCTCAAATACTCTGGCCACCAAATGAGAAGGGAGCACTCACTGGAGAAGACCCTGAAGCTGGGAAAGATTGAAGGTCAAAGAAGACAGGGACGGCAAAGGATGAGATGGTTAGACAGTGTCACAGATGCAACGAACATGAAATTGAGCAAACTCCGGAGCACGACGGAAGACAGGAGGGTCTGCCGTGATGTGACCCATGGGGTTGTGAAGAGTCGGACTGTGCGATTGAACAACAACCTCAACTGAGAAAATAGAGGTAAAAATCCAACTTGTCCTGCTTAGGTGGAAAGAGTTGGAATTTATGTATTTATTAAATTCATTTATACCCTGCCTTTCTCCCCAATGGGGACCCAAAGCAGCTTACATCATTCCCCTCGCCAGCATTTTATCCTCACAACCACCCTGTGAAGTAGTTTAGGCTGAGTGAGTGTGACTGTCTCAAAGTCACCCAGCGAGGTTCTGTGGCCTGTGGGAATTTGAACCGGGGTCTCTCAGATACTTGTCCAACACTCTTAGCCACCACACCATACTGACTTCAGCCAGTCTGAAGATGAATAACAGCTCCCTGATGGATTCCAGCGAGCATAACTCAAGTCATAGCAGCTGGGGAAAGGCTCTGGAAGACCTAGAGGTTTCAGCTGAGACTTCTAAAATTGGTTGAAGACAAAGCTTTGTCCTGCTGATGGGTTCATGAACGGCTTGTTGTGTTTTTCTGTTTTCCATTTTTTAATGTTACACCTGTTATCAAGTAAAGTGCCCAGTCTTGGGTAGAGGGATGATACGCATCAAGGAAAATCACCTGTATGTATGTTAATATGTGTATATTCTCATGTAGTTTCAAAATTAAAGATTCTAATTTGGAAAGCTCTTTTGGACAGACATTTTATTAAGGTGTCCCCCCCATAAAACTGACACACCATGTAAGATGTAATCATCACTACAAAGAATTACAAAATACCTGGAATCACGATTGTGCCATTTGAAGGACTGGCAAAATTTAATCTCAAATAGCCACTGATGGACCTCTGCTCCAATTGGATAAACATATGGTGCAGAGGTCCATCAGTTGCTATTAGCCACAAGGTATAGATAGGAACTCTCAGGCTGGGGCAAGTGATGCTCTGTCTTCTTGGTGCTTGGGGGGGGGGCAACAGTGGGAGGGCTTCTGGAGTTCTGGCCCCACTGCTGGACCTCCTGATGGCACTGGTATTTCTGGCCACTGTGTGACAGAGTGTTGGACTAGATGGGCCTTTGGCCTGATCCAACATTGGCGTCTCTTATGTTCTTAAATCTCCCGCCACCAAATCACTATGAAATACTTCTCACTCTATCAACGAGACAATTTCTCTCCAGAGCAGGATCCCTTGGCCTCCATTGAAACACTTCCCACAGCATAGACAATTGAAGTTTTCCTTCCCACCAGATCCTTAGGTCTCGCTAGAGTTGCCAAGTTCCAAGTGGGGCCCGGAGATCTCCCAGAATTACCACCTCTCGCAGGGCTCTTTTTGTAGCAGGTACTCATTTGCATATTAAGTGACACACCCCTAATGTAGCCAATCCTCCAAGAGCTTACAGTAGCTCCTGTAAGAAGAGCTCTGTAAACTCTTGGAGGATTGGCTACATTAAGGGGTGTGGCCTAATATGCAAAGGAGTTCCTGCTACAAAAAGATTTCTGCCAGACTACAGAGATCAGTTCCCCTGGAGAAAATGGCTCCTTTGGAGGGGACTCTACAGCATTCTGCCCTGTTGGAAGTCCTTTCCCTCCCTAAGCCCTGCCCTCCTCAGACTCCACCCCCAAATCTCCAGGAACTTCCCAACCTGGAGCGGGCAACTATAGGTCCCACAGAATGTTTCCTCTGCTGTCAGTGCCAATGGCTCCTCTCCTGTAGGGCTTTTTCTGTATTTCATGAAAGGCAAGATAATCCCAGCGACAGAAGGACAAAAGCTCTCAGGGTGGATTTCCTGTTTGTCTGTTTGGCAAACAAAAGTCATTTTATCGTCTTGAAAAGGCTGGAACATATCCCCGATCTAAGCACAACCCACTGGCCCACCCGCCAGTTGCTACGTGGCCTCCCTGTCTACAGAAACCGAAGCCGCCAGTTTAGCTCTGGTAAGCATCCACAGAGGGGTGTGTCTGTCGGTGCGGTTTACAAGTTGTGAATGATGGTGATCAGGATAGCCCAGGCTAGCCAGATTCCGTCGGATTTTGGAAGCTAAGGGAGGTCGACCCTGGCTAGTATTTGGATGGGTGACCTCCAAGGAATACCTGGGGTGTGACGCAGAGGCCGGCAAAGGCAAACCACCTCTGAAAAGTCTCTTGCCTTAAAAAGAGGTCTAGCTCACCACCTAGTGGTGCATAATGCTAAAAGCTAGAACCCTAAGCTGCCAGACAATCTTAGGATCTCCTGGCTATACTACCCACACTGCCATATAATAATGGGGGGGGGGATTTAAAGCCAGTTTGGTGCAGTGGTTAAGTGCGCGGACTCTAATCTGGGAGAACCGGGTTTGATTCCCCACTCCTCCACTTGCACCTGGCTGGATGACCTTGGCCAAGCCGTAGTTCTGATAAGAGCTGTTCTTGAAAAAAGAGCAGTTTCTGTCAAGAGCTCTCTCAGCCCCCCCTACCTCACAGGGTGTCTGTTGTGGGGAGGGGAAGGGAAAGGGGTTTGTAAGCCGCTCTGAGACACCTTTGGGTAGTGAAGGGCAGGGTATAAATCCAATCTCTTCTTCCTCCTCCTCCTCCTTAAATGAGATACTGGCAAGCAAGCACTTTCCACTGCGATGTGGCCTGGGGCACCATGCTGGCGCACTAATATAGCACACATGGTGGCTAAGGTTCCACCTTAAAGGAGGCACTGGGATCCCTGCCACGTCTCAGAGGCAAGTTCTTTTTGGCAGAGTTGTCCATGCTGGGTTGGGAAGTTCTTGGAGATGTGGTGGGCAAGAGTTGGGAAAAGGAGGGACCTCAGCGGGGTATATTGCGGTAGAGGGCACCCTCCATAGTAGCCGTTTTCTCCAGGGGAACTCATCTCTGTTGGCTAAAGATCCTTTGTAGCTCCAGGAGGTCTCCAGGACTAGGGCTGCCAAGTGGGGGTGGTGTCAGCAAGCTGCCAAAGTGTTCTGTGTGTGTATTAATGCTGCTTCTTTCTCCTCATGCGCATGCGTGTTGCAACTTACCAGCGCACATCTGTTTCTCTCAAGCATTCCTTTCTAGGTACGCGCCCTTTGCTTATCAGCAAGGCTACAGGAGGGGAGGCAGCTTCGCTTAGTCTATAATGTACTGAAGTGTGAGAAGCACCTAATTGTTTATCTTTTAGGTACCGTTGGTTCCCAGGCTTTAGGCGCCAGCTTGACAGCTCAACCGTGCGAGCGGGAACCAAAGTTATTGGTTAATGCTATTATGAATTTCCTTTATTATGTTGTGCCCTGGCCATATTGGTTATTCTGATCAGTGATTTGTGTTCCAGCTTTTCATGGCTTCAATAAAGTGAAACTTTTCTATAAACGCGCACTTCGTTGTTAGCTGTGGGATCTGACAGGCGGGGGGCGGGGAAACCCCCACTTTGGAGGCCCGATTTTCGCCGCGGCAGAATTGGGCCCCGGGGGAACCCTGCCCCCGGCGTGCGCGTCACTAGGAAGTGACGTGGGCACGCCGGGCACTCTATGGTTTTCCCTTGTATGGCCGTGGACCCGCCCCCAGCGTGCCCAGCGTGCCTACGTCACTTCCGGGTGACGTGCACTCTTCGTGACGTTCTGGCAGCGTGCGCCCGCGCCTCCCTCGGCAGCTCCTGGACCGAAGTGACGCTCCCCCGCCGATAAGTCAGAACGACTTGGCAACCCTATCCAGTATCCACCTGGTGGTTGGCAACCCTACGCTGAAGTCAAGCTTCCAGACAAGAAGCGGCAGCAGCACAGTTCAAAAACAATAACAGCAAATGTAACAAAGGCTGTGAACTGTGGAAAACGCTTTATAAAGTAAAACAACTTCTATAAATGTGCATTGTGAATTCTATTTACGTTACAATCACTTAACAACAGGATTAACAATATCAACAAGTGTATCAACGTATCAACGTATAAAATTACAAATAGTACAAAATTCATAGTAACAAATTTAGAAATTTTAGAAATGTTAAAGAAAGGTCCAACGAATAACTACGAAGAATGCCGAAAGACTGGTAGCCCGATGTTGAAACCTTTTCCTCTACTGTTTTGAACCTGGATGGTGTTTAAAAATTGATACTGGAGATTTAAATGAACACAGCTATACCTCGTGTGAATTGAAAATAGTCCATCTCTGAAGAAGATATCTGAAACGAAGTATTTATCCGGAATCTTTGTAGGATGAAGTCAGCTTCTGAGCGTGCACTAAGAGAGCTGTTCCAATTCAGCATGAATCCTCTCGTTTCTACGAAGGCTTTCCTTGTGAATGAAACTTTTCTCACACACCCACCCCAGCATTTGTGTCCTCTATTTGATGTGGCACTTCTGATGTCTCACAAGGTGTGACGGTCTTTGGAACGTTTCCCCACATTCCAGGCACGTGTTGGACTTCTTCTGGGTATGGACCTTCCCATGTACTTTGAGAGACGACTTCCATCGGAAGCTTTTCCCGCAGTCGGTGCATTCGTAGGGTTTCTCTCCAGTGTGGGTCTGCTGATGCCTCCTGAGGCGTGACTTGTCATAGAAAGACTTCCCACACTTCAAGCATTTATGGGGTCTCTCATTTGCAGAAATTCTTCTTAGGTGTACTGTCGATGTGTAGGGCATGTTCTGTAGGACTGGGATCAGTTTCTCTCTCTTATGGTTCTTCCTATGCCTTTCAAGAGATGAGTTCCACCGGAAAACTTCCCCACAGTCAGGACATTTATAGGGTCTCAGTGGATACACCGAGTGGATACACTGATGTCCATTCCATTCCAACGTGCTCAAGAGTTGGCCACACTCTAAGCATCTGCAGTTTTCTCCCTGCTTACAGTGGCTTTGGGGAGCTCCTTTTCCTCCCATGTGGATCTTTCTGTGTCGAGAAAATGAAGAATTCCACATGAACTTTTCCCCGCAGTCTGGGCATTTATAGGGTTTTTCCCCCGTGTGGAGGGGCTGATGTCTTTTCAAGCGTGCCTTGGTGCAGAATTTTTTCCCGCACACCAAGCAAAGGTAGCCCTTCTTTCCGGAGAATCCACACCGATGGATATCAAGGTCTGACGTGCCGTTGAAACTTTCCCCACACTCACAGCAGATACGCATCGTCTCTTCTCCCTGCTGTTTCGCATGAGGAGGAACGACCGACGTCTCTTTCACATGGATCTTTCTGTGCCCAACTAGAGAGCTGCTCCGGGTAAAGCTTTCCCCACAATCAGGGCACTGATAGGGTTTCTCTCCCGTGTGGCGTCGCTGGTGTCTCCTGAGGGACGACTTGTCATAGAAAGCTTTCTCACATTCTACGCACTGATGTGGCTTCTTGCCGGTGTGAATCTTCTGGTGCCTTCTGAGGGACCACGAGGAAGCAAAGCTTTTCCCACAGCGGGAGCATCTGTATGGTCTCTCCCCGGTGTGGGCTCTCTTGTGCAAGACGAGTAGGGAGTTACGGCTGAAGCCCTTCCCACACACATCGCACGTGTATTTTCTTGTTGCCTTCCTGAGCCCCTGCTGGAGAGTAGCTACACTGGGTTTCCTGTCATCCTCTTTGCAAGGAAGAGGTTTACTCCCTCCCTCAATTGGGTGGGTTACCTGCGTCCTTTCAAGTATGTGTTGATCCTCTAGGATTTTGCTGCTCTTATTGCAGTGGGGATCGTTGTCGTCGGCTTGTTCCGGGGCTATCCTTTGCGGCACTTTCGGTTTAATAATTTCTTGGGGATGCTCCTCCTTGTTCCCACTCAGCGTCCCATGATCTGTTCAAGTAACCAGAGAATTTGCCCATTAGGACTTTCCTTGGCCAAGGAGATGGTCTAAATCGTTTAAGCAAGGGAACTAGGGCAGGGTGAGATTTTTCCTAGATACATGAGCTAGTGGTTTAAAAATGACTATCAGGTTTCATCATCGACTACACCCTCAGGGGCTCATTCACTTGCTCATCTTCTAACATTGTATATGCCATTAAATGTCAACAGTGCCCTTCGGTTCTCTATATAGGACAACCAGGACAAACCCTACGCCAGAGGATAAATGGACACAAATCTGACATCAGGAATCACAAGATTGAGAAACCTGTAGGAGAACACTTTAACCTTCCAGGACATTCAATGCATGACCTCAAAGTACCTGTTTTATTACAAAGGAACTTCAGGAACAAAATGGAAAGGGAGATTGCTGAATTGCAAGCTATTACAACACTTGGAACAAGAACCTCCCCAGGACTCAACAGGGATATTGGATTTTTATCCTATTACATATGCTAACTCATTCAGTCCTCACAAATGTATTCTCAACAAGAAGGACTATAAATCCTCTATATTTTAGTGTATTTCAGAATAGTATATTAGAATAAGGAGCTGCAGTGGCTCAAGTGGTTAAGACGCTGAACTGCAGGCTGTGGAAGGTCAGTAGTTCAAGACCCGGGTGTGCCGCAGGATGGAGTGAGCTCCCGTCTCTAGTTCCAGCTCCTGCCAACCTAGCAGTTCGAAAGCAAGACATTGCGAGTAGATAAATGGGTACCGCTTCGGTGGGAAGGTCACAGCGTTCCGTGCGCCCTGGTGTTTAGTCATGCCGGCCACATGACCACGGAAACGTCTTCGGACAGCGCTGGCTCTTCGGCTTTGAAACAGAGATGAGCACCGCAACCCTAGAGTCAGATTCGACTGGCTTTCGAGCAAGGGAACCTTTACCTTTATATTAGAATACTGAATGGATGACTGCTGACATTACATCCAGCTCAAAATACACTGCCAAGTGCCCTCCACACACCCTCTACACCTGAGAAGAGATAATTAAGATTCTGTTACTCCCCACAATTAGAAAAAAAAACACCTTTAGACATTTATCTGCCATTGTGACATATTTATTGCTTTACAACTGTTGACCTTACAACCTTAACTTGTTATTTAGTTTTTTTCACTTTGCATAACTTTAACATCATCATGTTATACGTTAATTTGCTGTTAAATCCCTGTAAAGGTAAAGGTAAAGGTTCCCTTGCTCGAAAGCCAGTCGAATCCGACTCTAGGGTTGCAGTGCTCATGAAGAGCCAGCGCTGTCCGAAGACGTTTCCGTGGTCATGTGGCCAGCATGACTGAACACCAAGGCGCATGGACCGTCCCACCAAACTGGTACCTATTTATCTACTTGCAATTTCTTGCTTTCGAACTGTTAGGTTGGCAGGAGCTGGAACTAGAGACGGGAGCTCACTCCATCATGCGGCACCCTGGGTCTTGAACTGCTTGAACTACCGACCTTCCACAGCCTGTAGTTCAGCATCTTAACCACTTGAGCCACCGCAGCTCCTGTCTATAAGTTTAGAACCTCTATAAGTTTAGAACCAATGTATTTGACAAAGTGTACCTTGCACACGAAAGCTCATACCTTGAATAGACCTCTGTTTGTCTTAGAGGTGCCATTGGAGTCTCAATTTGTTCTATCGGATATCAGTTGGGTTCAACCATGCTAGCCGGCAGTAGAAGAGCGAGACTGAAGTCCAGTAGCACCTTTGAGACCAACAAGATCAGGGGGCATGAATTTTCGAGAGCCTCTCAAAAGCTCTGCCCCAGTATCTAAGATACTGCCAGACTTGAATCTAGATTTCAGTTAGGACAGGGGAAAGAAGCTGATCTGCGCAAGCACTGCACTCTGCACGGTTTATTGTGTTGTATCAGAACACAGATTCCAAGATTCAGAGAACTTATGAACTAGCTGAATAGACGTATGCCTACTTTATGCACATAGGGGATTGGGGCACCTTCCCTGTGAGGAAAAGTCTGAAGATTCTGGGACTTTTCAATTTAGAAAAGAGACAACTAGGGGGGGGGGACATAATAGAGGGTGCAGAGAGTTGACGAAGATATATTTTTCTCCCTCTCCCAAAATACTAGAACTTGAGGGCATCCAAGGAAGCTGATGGGCAGTAGGTTCAGGACGGACAACAGGAAATACTGCTTTACACAGAGAGTGATTAAAATGTGGAATTCACTGCCAGAGAAAGAGGAAGAAGAGGAGATTGGATTTATACCCTGTCCTTCACTACTCGAAGGAGTCTCAAAGCGGCTTACAATCTCCTTTCCCTTCCCCTCCCCACATCAGACACCCTGTGAGGTAGGTGGGGCTGAGAGAGCTCTTTCGAGAACTGCTCATGAAAGAACAGCTCTGAAAGAACTTGTAACTGACCCGCGGGAATACACAATTGGTCTCCAGGTAACAGAGATCATTCCCCCTGGATAAAATGGCTGTTTTCTAGGGCACTGTATGCTTCTGAGGACCCTTCCCTCCCCAAACCCCTCTCCCAAAATCTCCAGGTATTTCCCCACTGAAAACCGGCAACTCTATGAATGGGCCAGTCTAGCCTGATCTGGTTAGATATCAGAAGCTAAGCAGGGTTGGCCCTGGTTAGTTTTTGGATGGGAGACCGCCAAGGGAGTCTGGGGTTGCCACGCAGAGGCAAGCAATGGCAAACCACCTTTGAATGCCTCTTACCCGACGGGGTCACCACAAGTTGCTTACAACTTGATGGCAAAACCCCCCCACACACACACACACAATATGTGTCACTGTACACCCAGCCAACCCGGAAACCAGAAATTGCCCAAGAAGCACCTGGGATGTGGGGAGAACTCCAACTCCTCCATCAGAGTCACCCCCCCAAAAAAAATTGTGCTCCATGACTGCTCAAGTCACCAGAACCTTGAGGCAGTGACCTGCTTAGGGTTGGCAGTTCTTCTGGCATTATATCGAACCTCCAGTCCACAAAGATCAGCCCCCTACCCTGGTGAAAGTGGCAGCATCAGAGGGAAGACTCTAGATCAGGGGTGTCGACCTCATTTGTTATGAGGGCTGGATCCGACCTAATTGAGACCTTGTCCGGCCGGGCCATGTGTGTCATAAAATGTCGTGGCAGGTAGCGGAGATATCTCCCTTATAAATAAAAGCCGAATGGTAGTGGCACTTCTCTAGAACATTCCACATGCTCCAAAATCAGTTCGCTCTCTGATCTGTCATTCAGAGGGTCTACCTATCCACTGGCTGCTTTGCCTGAGTCCTGCCTCCAACATTCTAAACATTTTGCTAATCCTCTCCCCCCCATAGCCAGTCAGAACACAGAGGTTATTTGCATATGCAGCCTCATTGGCCTCTGCCTCAGAACACAGAGGTCATTTGCATATGCGACTTGATTGGCTTTTGCCTCTAACATTCTAAACAGTTTTGCTGTTCTGAGGTAAAATGCGTCCAGTCACCAGATGAGGGATGGAGATCACTCAGAATTACAACTGCTTTCCAGATGGCAGAGATCAGTTCTCCTGGAGAAAACGGTGGGCTGCTGAGGTGGCACCCGTATGACAGCCAATGTGACGTAGCAGTCAGGGCTTCAGAGCACGGGAGAGGCTGCAGGTGTGTGTGGGGTGGAAAGCTGCAGAGTGAGGGGGAAATAAAGGTAGGTTGATGCTTGGCTGGGAAGAAGATAGGGTTGCCAACTCCAGGTGGGAAATTCCTGGAGATGTGAGGGATGGGGCCTGGAGAGGGTGAGGTTTCAGGAGGCGTGGGACCTCAGACAGGTACAAGCCATAGACTCCACCCTCCAAACCAACTATTCCCTTCTGGCGAACCATAGTTGCCAATCTCCAGGTGAGAGCTGGAGATTACTCAAAAATACAACTGTTCTTTAGGTAGCAGAGATCAGTTCCTCTGGAGAAAATGGTGGACTCAGTGTCATTATACCCTGCTCAGTGTCATTATACACTGAGTGTCCAAGGCCGGGGCACCCTCCCAGAGCCTCTTTCTAGAGGCCGTTGTATTTATTTCCACAACGGGCCTTTTTCCTAGTAAACTTTATAAAGGACACAAACACAAAGGGTGTTTTTTTAACTTAAAATGAAAACATGCTTAAAACATTAGCCCTCTTGCAATATTTTGTTTATTTAACAGTGTCTGATAACTGACACCTTTTGCTCTGAATTATTGCATCAAAATATCTGTGCTGTTGCAATCTTGAGTATGCTATTCAGGTGTGTATCGGTAAGCTGCTAGCCTACAAAGACGCAGCAGCCACAGAACTGGAAGAAGAAGCAGAAGACAGCCAGTTCCACTGTGGTCCTGATAGAAGCCCTCCGGGGGGCTGATCTGGCCTCCAGACTGCATGTTTGACACCCCAGCTCTAGATAGCATCATATCCCCACTGAGTTCCCTGCCCTCCCAAAACTCCGCCCCCTCCCTAGGCGCACACACCCCATCTCCAAGAATCTCCCCAGCCGGAGCCGGCAATTCCTACTCCTTGTGCCAGCAAAGGGAAGAAGTCAACAGACAGTGGTAAGCATGGCTGACCCCCACCCCTTGGGTTGCCAGCTCTGGGTCAGGAAATTCCTGGAGATTTGGGGGCAGCGTTCCCTCTAAGCTGAGTCGGTGTCAGCTAGCTCACAGTTTTTTAGCCTCTGGCTCAACACATTTCTGTCTTAGCTCAGGAAGGAGGGCTCCAGAGCAAACTAACTGATGCAGTAGCCAAATCGCCGGCTCACCAAGTAGAGTTTTTTGCTCTCAGGACCCCACAGCTTGGGAGGGAGCGTTGGGGGTGGAGCCTGGGGAGGGCAGAGTGAGGGGAGGGACTTCAGGTGGGGGCGCAATGCCATACAGACTCCGCCCTCCCAAGCAGCCGTCTTCTCCAGAGGAGCTGTTGTCTGGAGATCATTTGTAATTCTGAGAGATCTCTGGGTCAAACCTGGAGGTTGGCAACCCCACTCACCCCTACTTCCTTGGCACTCCCAAAGAAACCAAGAGAACTGCAGAAGTTTTGCTTGCGGGGCAGGAACCCGTTAGTTGAAGTCAGGGCTATTTTTGGGCAGGAACGCACAGGAACGGAGTTCCGGCTGGCTCCTGAGTTGGCCACGCCCAGCAGGAACTCATTAGCATAATAGGCCACACCCAACAGCAGGAACTCATTAGGATTGGCTACGTTAGGGGTGTGTGGCCTAACATGCAAAGGAGTTCCTGCTACAAAAAAAGCTCTGGGTTTTGACAACAAACAAGGTAAACAGAATAAGAAGCAAAAGGTGGGTGTGGCTGGATAACCACACTTCTGGTAACATGGGGGTGTGGCCTAATGTGCTAATGAGCTGTGCTGTCAGGGGTGTGGCCCAATATGCTAATGAGTTCCTGCTGGGCTTTTTCTACAAAAAGAGCCCTGGAACTTGAAGTCCTTTTAGAATAAAGCATGTGGTCCTAAGTAAAAGTACAAGCCAGCATTGCAGCCTTGATTTCTTTACGGGCTTGACATTTCGAAGCCCGAAAAGGACTCAGAGGTGAGGAATCCTTACCCGAAGGAGGGGGATCTTGCTCCCACGTGGCTTCCCCGGAAAGCTGTGGCGGACTCAGCACGCCGAACGAGGGGATCGGCTCCGGCCCCTGCGCGTTCTCCGCCGGTGGCTCCGCTAGTGGTTCCATCATCTGCAAAAATGGTACAAGGCCTCTTCCTGTTATTTATTCACTCATTTGATTTTTGGCGCCGCCTTTCCTTCAAGGAGATCAGGATACATGGTTATTCCCTTCTGTTTTACACTCACAACAACCCTGTGAGGTCAGTTAGGCTGAGAGAGAGGGAGGGAGAGAGGGCAACTGGCCCATACAGTGGGCTTTGTGGCTGAGTGGGAGATCTGAACCTGGGCCTTCCTACTCGGTCTAAGAACATAAGAGAAGCCATGTTGGATCAGGCCAATGGCCCATCCAGTCTGTGTCATACAGAGGCCAAAACCCAGGTGCCATCAGGAGGTCCAGCAGTGGGGCCAGGACACTAGAAGCCCTTCCACTGTTGCCCACCCCCCAGCATCAAGAATACAAAGCATCACTGCCCTAGACAGAGTGTTCCATCTATACCTTACGGCTGATAGCCACTGATGGACCTCAGATCCATATTTTTATCCAATCCCTTCTTGAAGCTGTCTGTGCTTGTAGCCGCTACCAGTTCCTGCGGCAGGGAATTCCATGTCCTAATTACCCTTTGGGTGAAGTACCTGAAGAAGTGAGCAGTGACTCAGGAAAGCTCATACCGTGCCAAATATTTTGCTTGTCTTTAAGGTGCTACTGGACTCGAGCGCTTTGGGTGAAGAAGTACTTCCTTTTATCTGTTCTAAGCCTAGGTAAAGGTTCCCTTGCTGGAAAGCCAGTCGAATCCGACTCTAGGGTTGCGGTGCAAGCATCACTGCCCTAGACAGAGTGTTCCATCTATACCTTACGGCTGATAGCCACTGATGGACCGCAGATCCATATTTTTATCCAATCTCTTCTTGAAGCTGTCTGTGCCTGTAGCTGCCACCAGTTCCTGCGGCAGGGAATTCCATGTGCTAATTACCCTTTGGGTGAAGTACCTGAAGACGTGAGCAGTGACTCAGGAAAGCTCATACCCTGCCAAATATTTTGCTTGCCTTTAAGGTGCTAATGGACTCCTGCTCTTTGGGTGAAGAAGTACTTCCTTTTATCTGTTCTAAGCCCTGCTCATTAATTTTATTGAGTGGCCACGAGTCCTTGTAATATGGGAAAGGGAGAAAAGGACTTCTTTTTCTACCTTCTCTATCCCATGCATGAGTTTATAAACCTCTGTCATGTCACCCCTCAGTTGTCATTTCTCCAAACAAAAGAGCCCAAACTTCCCTAACTTATCTTCATAGGGAAGGTGTTCCATCCCCGTAAACGTTTAAGTTGCCATGTTCTGCACCTTTTCCAATGCTGTAATGTCTTTTTTTTTTGGAAAACGCAAAGTTGGAAGAAGAGAAAAAAGCTTGTTTTCATACCCTGCTTTTCTCTACCCTGAGTAGTCTCAAAGCGGCATACAATCACCTTCCCTTCCTCTCCCCACAACGGACACCCTGTGAGGTAGTGGAGCTAAGAGCTCCGAGAGAACTGCTCTTGAGAGAAAAGCTCTGAGAGAACTTTGACTGGCCCAAGGTCACCCAGCTAGCTTCAAGTGAAGGGAGTGGGGAATCAAACCCCATTCTCCCAATTAGCTGCTTTTAACCACTACACCAAACTGGCTGCCTTATAAAAGTGCCTATTTTATTCATGTGTATCAGGGCATGCACACGTCTTTGTGCTGGGATTTTCTATCAAGCCAATCTCCTTTCAGACTAAGACACTGTTGGGGAGTCCCACACACGTCACAAGTCTTGGTGACTTATGTTGCATCCAGGGTTACCACGATGGCAAGGGGATTTGGGGGGTGCCCTGGGCAATGTTCCCTCTAAGCCGTGGAGTCTTCTGAGCAGAAATTCTACTTTGTGAGCTACTGGCATTAAAATTGTGAGCGAGTGATTTGGCTACTGCATAAATTAGTTTGCTCTGGAGCCATCCCTTCCTGAGCTAAGACAAAAATCTGTGAGCTGGAGGCCAAAAAACTGTGAGCTAGCTCACAGTAACTTAGCTTAGAGGGAACACTGGTGGGATGTTGTGTGTGTCGTGCACAACGCTCTTGTTTTGGGGCAAAACTCTATGCCTTTGTCCCTTCAAAGCCATAGAGGCAGGCTGCAGTCACACCTACTAAATAATACACTTTCAATCACTTTCAGTGCACTTTCCCAACTGGATTTTACTGCGTGAACTGGCAAAATCCAGTTGGAAAGTGGACTGGAAGTGGATTATTTAAAGTGCGTGACCGCAGCCAGAGTTTGCCCAAAAAACCGAGCGTCAACCACGATGTCCCTGTTTGGGGGGGGGGGGGGTTTCCCCAGCCAGCTGGCCAGCAGCGGATCAAACCCCCCCACCAAAGTGGAGGAACCCCTGGCTGGGACCTGGGAGGCTGGCAGCCCTAGTTGCAGCCCTCCAGCCTTCGAATCAATTCGAGACAGAAAAGTTGTTGTTCAGTCGCACAGTCGAGTCCGACTCTTCGCGACTCCATGGACCAGCTCCTGCCAGGCCCTCCTGTCTTCCGCCGTCCTTTGAATTTTGCTCAGTTTCATGTTCGTTGCATCGATGACACTGGCTAACCATCTCATCCTTAGCCGTCCCCGTCTTCTTTGACATTCAATCTTTCCCAGCATCAGGGTCTTCTCCAGGGAGTGCTCCCTTCTCATTTGGTGGCCAAAGTATTTGAGCTTCAGTTTCATTATCTGGCCTTCCAGGGAACAGTCAGGGTTGGTTTCTTTGAGGATTGACTGATTTGATCTTCTTGCAGTCCAAGGGACTCTCAAGAGTCTTCTCCGGCACCATAGTTCAAAAGAATCTATTCTTCGGCGCTCGGCCTTCCTTATGGTCCAACTCTCGCAGCCATACATGACTACTGGGTATACCATTGCTTTGACCATGCGGACTTTTGTTGGCAGAAAAGTAAGGGACGCTAATTACAGATCTGCCCGGCTCTGAAGTTACCCAGACAGGGTTGCCATATCCAGGTTGGGAAACGCCTGGAGATTTGGGGGTGGAGCCCAGGAAGGGTGGTGTTGGGGGGGTGGGGGGGCAGCTCAGCACGGACGTGGCCTGTCGGACTTCCAGCCTCAAGGTGGGGCTTGGAGATCTCCTGAAATTACAACTGATCTCCAGAGATCGGTTCCTTTGGAGGAAATGGCTGCTTTGGGGGGTGGGCTTCAGAGTTGCCAGGTCTGGGTTGGAAAATATCTGGAGACTTTGGGGGGTGGATCCAGGAGAGGGCGGGGTTTGAGGGGTGGAGGGGCCTCTCTCAGATTCACACAGTTTGCCTTATATTCAACAGACCTTTCTTCCCCATTTCCTCTTTAACTGATGTGCACATCTTCCTTCCTTCCTGCCTTCCTTCCTTCCTTCTCTCCCAGGTTGGGACTCAAAGCGGTTTAGAACATTTCCCCCCCTCTCCCCCACTCTCTCACAACCACCCTGTGAGGTGGGCCAAGCTTAACCCATATTCACCCAAGCAAGCCTGCCTGGTAGAAGCAGGGAGTCGAACCTGCGTTGCGGGGGTGGGGGGTGGGGTGAAAAATTTCCACCACACCACACTGTGCCCCAGGCAGAAATCCCAGTTTTCAGTCTGCCATCCCATGCCAGGAAACATGTGTTGAATTGCAGGGATTATTCCTTTTGTCAGGTCACCCTGATGCAGCCACCTCCCATCCTTTCACCCCAAGGCTTCCTGCTTCCACCGCATGGCCTGGCTTTCTTCCAGCTCCCTCCTCAAAGCCCACCTTTCCCACCCAGCCAGTCTTCAATCCCAAAGCCTTGGTAAACAGACACACACACACACACACACACACCCGTTTATGTTCATTCATTGTCTCCTAATCCTCTTCTCTCTTCAGTATGATGCCAATAATTAGCATCTGCACAACTCTGAGCACTTGACATGTACCCACTGATTTGTTAGAACTGTTACAACAGCCCTGTGGGGTAGGCCTGTGTTATCCCCATATTGCCACTTTGGCTGGGGGTGGGGACAGCATGAGAGCTGTTTGCCTAAGACAGGAGTCCCCAACCTTTTTGAGCCTGTGGGCACCTTTGGAATTCTGATACCATGGAATTCTGATACCACAGAATGGCTGCCACAAGTAGGGTTGCCAGGTCTGGGTTGGAAAAAGCCTGGAGACGTTGGGGGTGGATCCAGGAGAGGGTGGGGGTCGGGGAGAGGCCTCAGCATGGGATAAATCCATAGAGTCCCCCCCTTCAAAGCAGCCATTTTCTCCGGGGCAGCTGATCTCTGTCAATTGGAGATGAGTTGTAAAAGCGGGAGATCCCCAGGCCCCACCTGGAGACTGGCAACCCTAAAAACAGATGTTCTGCCACCGAAGAGGGTCTCTTTCACCATTGGGGCAGAGACAAGGGGGAAAGGAAGGAGGCTCAGATACACGTTGGCCACAGAGAAGTGCTGAAATCTCAGTGGGCCAAGAATCATGGATTTCCAATTACCAAACAAAAGAAAGTTTCTAGTCCCTAAGAGCAGAGTCAGCCTCTTACTTTTTGGGCCTGAGACCTGGCAGTTTGCCAGTGGCCCTGAGAAAAATGGGTGATCCTGATTCTTTTCAGCCTTGAACCGGGTTGGATTTTATCTATTTATTCTACGAAATTTATACCCAGCTTCTCTCTCCAGTGTGGGACTCAAACCGGCTTACAGCATTCTCCCCTTTTCCATTTTATAATCACAACAACCCTGCGAGGTAGGTTAGGTTGACATTTTGTGACTGCCTCAAGGTCATCCAGCAATACAGTTGCCAACTTCAGGCTGGGAAATTCCTGGTGATTTGGGGGGTGGATCCTCGGGAGGGCTGGGTTCGGAGGGGAGAGGGACCTTAGAGACTCAGGAGTGAATCCCCACTCCCAAAGATGCCATTTCCTCTAGGGGAAACTGATCTTTGTAGTCCAGAGATCAGTTGTAATTCTACGAAATCTCCAGAGCCCACCTGGACGTTGGCAACCGTACTCAACAAGCATCCCTTGGCCGAGTGGTGATTCAATCCTGAGTCTCACAGATCCCAGATTGACAGAGGAGAAGGAGAGAGGAAAAGAGGAAGGGAGACAAACCCTCTCCCCCGCCCCCAAGGAGGAAAACAAACAAAAAAACGTTCTTACCTGTTGGCTCCATGCCTCAGACTCCAGCTGGTCAAGCAGGAAATCTTCGGCCAGAGCCACAGCCTGTGCACAGGTCTCGGGGCAACTTCGCCTGACCCAGTTCTGCATTTCCACGGGCAGGACAGTCAGGAATTGCTCCAGAAGAAGCAGCTCCAGGATCTGCTCCTTGGAGTGCTTCTCGACCTTCAGCCACCCGTGGCAAAGCTCCTGGAGCCGATCGTACGTCCCTCTCGGCCCCTCGGCCTCCTGGTAGCAGAACTGCCGGAAGTGCTGGCGGATCTTCTCCCGGCTCATGGCGTCCCCTTGCAAGATGGCCACCTTCACTTTCCCATAATCCTCTCTGTCGCCGGCCTCCATTTTGAGAAACGTTTGCTTGGCTTCTCCCCTGAGGGCTGGCTGAAGTCGGGCCGCCCAGTCCTCCTTGGGCCACTGGCAGGCTTCGGCTACTTGCTCGAAGGAAGCCAAGAAGGCCTTGGCATCGTCCCATGGGGCACTCTCCTCTGGCAACTGGGGGGCACCGCACCCCGTTTGAGGAACCTCCACTGTCTTCAGGAACTCTTGCAGCTGGCCTTCCCAGAGCTGGGATAACCCTCTTTCCAGTTCTTCTTTCATATGATGCAGAGCTGCTGTGCCCAGGGGTCCACCAATACCCGCCAAGAGCATTGCTTCAGGGGCCTGGCTTCCCCACGCAGAGTCCATCCTGCCGTAGTGCTCTAATGTCCTGCGGTTCCCCTGTGAGCCACGGTCCTAGAAGCATATTTAAAAACAACAACACAAAATTAGAAGACGAAGAGATTGGATTTCTACCCCACCCTTCACTACCCAAAGGTGTCTCAGAGCAGCTTACAATCTCCCCTCCCTTCCCCTCCTCACAACAGACACCCTGTGAGTAGAGATGTAAAATTTCTGGAAATTTTGGAGCTCGGGAAAAAAAAACCGTTTTTTTTCGGGGGTTTTCGGGGGGAAATGGAAATTTTTGGAAAAATTGAAAAAAATGCTACATTAGCATTTCTTTTGTCTTTTCTAGATTGAAAGTTATTCTGTTACTTTAGGAACATAAAATATGACTATGGACATTTTTACTTGGCACGAAATTATCACAACTAGCATATTAAAAATGACCTTGGGCAAGCCATAATTCTGGCACTGCTGTCCTTGAAAAAGAACAGTTTCTGTCAAGAGCTCTCTCAGCCCCACCTACCTCACAGGGTGTCTGTTGTGGGAAGGGGAAGGGATTGTAAACCGCTCTGAGACTCCTTTGGGTAGTGAAGGGCAGGGTACAAATCCAATCTTCTCTTCTACACCAAACTGGTAACCATACATTTCCACCACACCACAAACAGCCTTGCCTCTTCAGCAGCCCACATTACTTCAGAGCTCACAAGCCGGGCCTGGTACCTACTGCCAGTATCTAAGATTGCATTTGGGGCTGCCAACGTCCAGGCGGGGTACGGTTGCCAGCCTCCAGGTGGGGCCTGGAGATCCCCCGCTTTTACAACTGATCCCCAGCTGACAGAGATCAGCTCCCCCGGAGAAAATGGCTGCTTTGAAAAAATGGCTGCTTTGGTGGACTCTACGACATTGTACCATGCAGAGGCCCCCTCCCCTCCCCAAACCCAGCCCTCTCCCAGATCCACCCCCAAACTCTCCAGGTATTTTCCAACCCAGACCTGGCAAACCGTAAGGTGGGGCCTGGAGATCTCCAGGAATGACAGCCCATCTGCAGACAGCAGAGATCACCTCCCCTGGAGAAAGTGGCTGCTTTGGAATGCAGACTCTATGGCAGTGGTGGCGAACCTATGGCACGGGTGCCAGAGGCGGCACTCAGAGCCCTCTCTGTGGGCACCCGTGCCATCGCCCCAGCCAGGCCCAGACCATCATTAAAGTGTCGAATTCTCTGCCAAATCATTTTAAGTAAATGAAAACATTTGGGGTTGCTTTCCTTCCTTTGTTTGGATCATCTTAAGTTAACGTATGAGTTGTTTTTTCTAAAGTAAAACCTCAATATTCAGGTTAAATTGCCGTGTTGGCACTTTGCGATAAATAGGTGTGTTTTGGGTCGCAGTTTGGGCACTCGGTCTCTAAAAGGTTCGCCATCACTGCTCTATGGGGTTTACTCTGTCCCTGCAGAGGTCCCTCCCTCCTGGCTTTACTCCCAACTCTCCAGGAAGTTCCCAGCCTGGAGTCGGCAACCCTAGGCTGCATCTACACAACTTTGATCCCTCATTGTGCTATTAATCTCCCCCAGTCTTTTCTTGCCTCCACCGGGAACATCCAGTTACAGAGGATTCCTGTCTTGAGCAACAAGACTGCATGTTCAACAACGTGTAGGAGAAGCCTCGTATTTATTTTATTTATTCCTTTTATACCCCAATGCTGACCCAAAGCCGACATCATTCTCCTCTACTTCAACAACCCCGTGAGTGAGGTAGGTCACGCTGGGAGAGAGGGACTGGCCTGAGATCACCCGGGGAATTCCATGGCACAGTGAGGATTCTATCCTGGGTCTCCCAGATCTTGGGTCTCACATGCTAACCAATACACCTCACTGGTTCAGAGGTATAGTGGACTGGAGGGTCTATCCTGACTAACAGTACGGTTGCCAACCTCCAGGTGGTCGCTGGAGATCTCACAGAGAAAATGGCTGCTTTGGAAGGTGGGCTCTCTGGCATTATACCCTGCTGAAGTCCCTCCCCGGACTCAGCACGACCAGCCCAGGAAGCATAGGGCTCAAGCACACAGCATTCAAAGGCATACTGCCTCAGGACTTGGAAGTTCCATTTTATTCAGGGCGGCTAATAGCTAGCGGCAGAGGTATCCTCCACGAATTTGTTTCATTCCCCCTTTCAAACTTCCTAAGCTAGTGGCCATCAGTACATCGCACACTTTCTGCCTAGCCTACCTCACAAGGTTGTTGTGAGGCTAAAAATGGAAGAGAGAATGACGTCAGCCATCTTGGGGCTCCCACTAGGGAGAAAGGCAGGGTATAAATGAAGCAGACTAATAAATAAATCCTGTTCCAGGTGGTCAGCCGTGTGGGTCTGAAGCAGTAGAACAAATTGAGACTCCAGTGGCACCTTTAAGACCAACAAAGGTTTGTTCGAGGTATGAGCTTTTGTGTGCAAGGCACACTTTGTCAAATACACTGGAAAGGACCCACAAGTTAATTAACTACACCCACAAGTTAATTAACTACTCTTCACGAAGAAATATTTCCTTTGGTGCGTCCTGAATCCATTGCCCATCAATTCCATTGGCTGCTTCCGAGTTCGAATTATAAGGCAACTAGAAAATATTATTTCTACCCACTTTCTCCCACTCATGCATCAATTTCTAATGCTCTGTCATGCCTATACACAGCCCAGTCATCTTTTCTTCAGCCTAAAAAGTCCACCAGCTCCTTCCCTGGCAGTGAAGAAGCCCCATTCTCCTTGAACACTGGGATCACTCACCCTTTGGGGCAATATCTAAATATCCCTTTGGAAACTGCAGACCAAGCCCTGTTCCACCTCTGCCGTAGTGGAAAAGTTTGCCCATTCACAACCTCACAACAGGCAGAAACTCCACAGATGAAGATTCACCCCATCACCATCACTACCATTTCAAAAAAAAGAAGAGGAAAAACTTCTACTTTATCTTTGACCTAGAAGGGCCAAAGATTTCCCTTCATTTACTAAAATAAATCAGCACATTTAAAGATTTGTTTTTAGATTTCACCCACTGGATTATCTTTTGGCTGAAAAGTCCCTAGCAGAAAGCAAACCCATGCCTGTTAAACCAACTTTTCTCTGAAATTATAAAGTAGCTAACTCTCCCCCAAGAAGCTGAAGTTCCAGGGATGCCAGCCTCCAGGTGGAACCAGGGGAGGGGGGATCCCTCGGAATTACAGCTCATCTCCAAACTACAGAGATCAGTTCCCACCAGTGTTCCCTCTAAGCTGAGTTAGTGTGAGCTAGCTCACAGTTTTTTAGCCTCTGGCTCACACATTTTTATCTTCGCTCAGGAAGAAGGGCTCCAGAGCTAACTAATTTATGCAGGAGCCAAATCGCTCGCTCACCACTTTAATGCCAGTAGCTCAAAGTAGAATTTTTGCTCACATGACTCCACAGTTTACAGGGAACATTGGTTCCCACTGGACTCAGATGTTGTCCTGGAGGAAATGGCTACTTTAAAGGGTGGACTCACTCTAGGGCATTGTGTCTCACTGAGGTCCCTGTCCTCCCCAGACGCCATCCCTAAATCCCCTGGAGTTTCCCAACCTCGATCTGGCAACGCTAACCCCACACCCCCCGCCGGTGGCCGGGTGGGGAACCCGGCAGCCCACGACCAAGCATCGTTCTCTGGTAACCTATGCTCTAAGAAACTCACCAGCTCTGGCGCGCACACCCGTCCTCTCTGAAAATGCAGAAGCCCAAGAAAAATCTCCAGGATAAAGAAGGGGGGGTGGAACCCCATGCAAAACTACAGCCTCAGACCCCCTCCCCCAACCACGTGCACAAACCCTGAAAGGATTCCACCCCCTACTCTGCATTTCTCATCTCAATGCCTTTCTTAGCCCCTTTGGAGCTGGGATCGTCAAGTGATCGCTTTTGGCCTTTCTTCTAATGGCTCGATCCAGGTGTGGGCGCCTTTAAGACGAACGAAGTTTAATTCTGGGTATAACACACGGCTGCCCACCTTCAGCTCTGAAGAAGTGGGCCTGCGTGTACACGAGAGCCTAAACCCAGAATTAAATTCCGTTCGTCTGAAAGGTGCCGCTGGACGCCAGCTTTGTTCTAAACGGATCGAGGTTTTTGTTCTGTCCTTTTCGCCTCTTGCCTGGCTGCAGGATTCCTGCCGGTGCCCCTAGACGGCCAGGCCGGCTCCTGCCTTGCTTTCTCGAGTCTTTCGACAGCGCACGCTCAACACGTGAATTTGAAATGTACGTCTGTACGACTCCAGCAGCCTGTTTCCTCAACCCTGACTCTGGATTATTTCTATACCTTCAGTAGCACCAATCGTGGTGCAAACCCTGCAGCGCTGCTCACCATCCGGGTGTCTTTAAGGGTGCCTCTGCCTGTTTTCCTTGGAGTAAGCGCTATTGAATGCAAGGGGGCTGGTGTCTGAGTAAACATGCCCTGAGTGAGCATTCGTGGATGGCTGGGTTTTTTTATTATTTAATGGCTTTTGAGGTTTGTTTGATCTATTTTTATCCCTCTCTCAAAGAGCTCATAGAGGCGAACACCACAGGGTTGCCAAACGTCCAGGTGCGGCCTGGAGATCTCCCAGAATGGCCATTGGTCTCCACTCCAGACTACAGAGATCAGTTCCCCAGGACAAAATGGCTGCTTTGGAGGGTGGACTGGATGGCACTGGAGTCTAATGGATCCCTCCTCTTTCCCAAACCTTCTCCTCCTTAGATCTTTACGGGAGAGGGTAAAAGCCAGAACGGCCTGGAACAGGCATTAAACACACAATAGTACCGCAAAAAGCACTGGGATGCCTTACAGGCACTCCAGAACAATATGGAACTCTCACACTTTTATTAACCCTTTCCAGGCAAAAATGCCTCCGGAACACCCCGGAACGAGCACTAAACAAACAGTAGTACCACAAAAAACAGCGGCATGCATTACAGGCGCTCCAGAACAATATTCTAGAAGTGAAAACACAGAACTCTCACACTTTTATTAACCCTTTCCAGGCCAAAATGCCTTCGG